CGAAAAAAAAAAAAAAAAAAAGGTTTGAAGAGCGTTTGTTTTTTAAATCCTCCAAACGCTTCTTTCTGGAATATAAATTAAAGAGAGGGGGGTGGGTGGAAAAAACAATACTTTAACTGCGACGATCCGGGCGAATATACTCTTAAAACTACAGTAGACGAGAATGAGTTCACGTTGCAACACTGACCTTTTTTCATAGGCGTTTGGGTGGTCTGGATGGCCGGGTAGCCGTGCGCGCACGGACCCTCCCAGAGCTCTCGCGACACACGCTCGTCTTACACGTAACAAAAAGTTGCCTGCCCGGCACAATCCTTGCAGCGCACCGTCGCAATGGGGAGGCCAACGTCCGTCTTGTTTTATTCTTTGTAGCGTCTTGAAGTCGACCGAAGCCGGGATGATTTGCAGAGGAAAAGAGGCGCGGTGTCGCTGCGCTTGTCGCTTTCTCTGGGACGCTGGCGGTGACGGGAGCGAAGGGCACGCGTTCTCCCCCGCGCGCCCGCCCGCGCGCCCCCTTCCCCCGCTCCCGCCCGCCCGCCTAGCAGGAACACTTGCACTCGGAAATGATCGGGTACTGGATGGGGATCCACGCGCAGCGCTGCCCCCCGCGGCGCTGGCACCTCCACCGCAAGATGGTCAGATGCACGGACTTGGCCGGCTTGCAAATCATGCCCTCCGGGACGGAGCAAGACCTCTTGCTGAAGCAGCTGCCCACCTTCACGTAGCGTGGCCAGAAGCGGCTGCCGAGGTCGTTCCACGTGTAGAGCACGGGGCAGAAGGTGTGCGACCACAGCCACAGCTGCAGCTTCCGACGGAGCTTCTTGCTCAGCCGGTGCTTCTTGCTCGCCTGCAGCCCCCCGTCGTAAAACTCCAGGCCTTTGATCTCGCTGGGCATCGCCCCGGACGGTCTCTGCCGCAGCAGCAAGTCCAGCTCGGCCAGGTCGTCCCCGCCAAGGCGATCCTCGGCCAAGGAGACTGCCATGAAGCTCGGGTCGAAATGGGTGCCCAGGAGGGTCCTCAGCAGCGTGTCGTTCAGGTCCTTCTCCTTGGGATCGAAGCTAGGGTCCGGGTGCTCGATTAGATCCACCAGGGGCAAATTGTCGCTGGGGGCCGGTCGGATGTGAAGATAGTGCTGGCAAGCGCCCTGCTCCAGCCGGAGACCCAGGAGAACCGCCAACGTGTAAAGCGTCACCAACCACTGGGGATGATCCATGCTCGGAGAGAGAGAGGGAGGGGAAGGGGAAAGGGGGACAGGGTTCACCCAGAAGCGGGCCCGGGCAGAGGCATCGGTCGGAGAAGCTCGCACTGGGAGACGAGGGTATCCAAGCGCGCAGGAGAGGAGGGTCGGCCCCTGCCGCTGCCCAAACGCCTTTCCTCGTGTCCGGTGAGTAGGCAACAGCAGCAAGAAAGAGCACTGTTTAGAAGTAAGTAATACTAATCGCGAGAGTAGGCAGCCCCGTGCAGAAAATCAGAAGCCTCTGGCGCTCCATGCAATTGTTTTGCCTGCGGACTTGCGGGTGCGCGCCGTGTCACTCAGGAGAGACCTCTGCAAACTTCCATTCGGCTCCCGTCTCTTTGCAGTTTGCAACAGCCGCCGCCGCCGCCACGCACGTTGGCACCAGTTTGTCTGCTTCGCGAGGATCCAGCGTCTTTAAATTTCCTGCACTTTCTGTTCCATCACTATGGAAACCACCGACTCGCTCTTTTCAGGCACTTCTCCTTAAAAGAGGGAACTCGTGGGCGTGGAGGGGGGAGGCAAATGCGATCCCTCTACTACCAAAGTCTTGGCGGCAACTCAGTTTCTCCAACACCCACCCAGCCAATGGGGGTAGGTGCGGGGGGGAGCCTCTTTCTCCGCGTTGCGTCCGTGGCGAAGTCAAAACGCGGCTGGAAAGTGATGCTCTTTGCAGGAGCGTCTTCAATTGCTTCTCCGTAGCAAAGGAGTACTATCCGAGGTGGCTTTGCCACTGCTCGATCGGGCACGCTCCTCGCTGAGCTGCGTTATGAGTTAGAAGGCGGCCTTAGAGCCAGCTTTTATACTCCGCGAGGTCAGCGCCAGCGGCAGCAAGTCTGTGCAACCTTGCAAGGCACCTCGTCGCTCCATGTGCAACCTCCGGACTGGCTTCTAGCTAGCCGCTCACGCCCCCTTTTCACTTTCGCCTCTCAAACTCTTTCACCTCGTGCCTTCCCCCCCCTAGGATTGTCCTGGTACCTGGCGGCCGCTGCATTTATTTGCGCGGCTCCACACATGAGCCCGTGATGTAATTCTAGTTGGCTTCCAGCTCAAGAAGGTCTCTGCAAACGCCTCCTTCTCCAAGCGTGAAATTGCTGGCTAATGCTAAGTCAAGGCGGGGGGGGAGGAGGAGAGGGAGAGGAGAGGAGAGCGCCCTCTGCTGGCGGCCGCTTGAGGTCGCATCCCTCTCCTCTTCTATTTCCTCGCGGGCGCACACACACAAAAAGTAAACGAGAGTTGCAAACCGAGGACAACATTGTTGCCTGGACATTGTGGCAAGGCAGTGTCACTTGTAGCGTCTAGAAGACTCCCTTAGGCAGTTCCATCTACTGTTACCTTCATCTCTTATGAAAGCTAAATCTGATTTCGCAAAGGTGTAGCGAAATTCACATCCACTTTTTGCCTCACTGGGAGTTGCTTCGAGTTGTGTTTTTAGACGGGCGGCCGTACATATCCTTTAAATCAATCAATCAAACAAACGAACTTGTGCTGACTTCATGGATAGGGCCATGCAGTTTGATGGGAAACGGTGTGCTGCTGCAGTCTTCCTGGTTGTTGATTGTTTGGTTTCCCAGTTGAGCCTACAGGCCAGGGATTTCTGAGTGGTGGCCTATCCAAGCACTTACCAGGCCTGACCCTGCTTAACTTTACAAGGTCAGTTAGATGCTGTCACCTGCTGGGCCAGTGTCCCAGTGCTCCAAAACTGGACTTTACTAGCACTCTGAATGAGCTCTTTTCCTGAATTTTAAAACTTGCAATGGCCTCGCTTGTCCCTCTCACTCTTTTATGCCCAGGTAGATCCCTTCCTTTGACTTTCCTTTGTCTTCTGTATTGGAATCCACCATTCAAAGGGCTCTGCTTGGTCAAAAAGGTAATTCCTGAGACGAAATGGTCTTTTTCACACATGGAATCTGTTTGCGCTGACAGTGGAATCTTATTTCAACCTTGATGAAGGAATTGTTTTTTCTTCATTACAGTTGGAGCTTTGGAGACACAGGAAACGTTTGTTTGTTTGTTTGCTTACTATGATTTCTGTGCCACTCTATTCCTGAAGACTGAGAGGTTTACAACAGAATAGAATGAAAACAATAAACATAGCAAGAAAGAATAACTACTTCCAAGCAACTGATGTGTCACCGTTCAGGAGAGTATGGCCTTCACTCATCAGCAAACACTGTCATGAACAGTCATGTTTTCAGGGCGGTTTGGAAGCATAATCAGGATGGGGTGATCTGAATATCCAGGGGTAGGCTTTTCCAAAGGGAAGTGTCATTGTTAAGAGATGCAGCTGTGGGTTCCCTGCAGGTGGCACTTCCTTGGTGGTGGGACCCTCAGTAAGACTACTTACTGTCTCTGATCTCAGGGGGTGGGCAGGTTTAACCCAGATGGAAGGCAGATGGAGAGAGATCCAGGCCCTGAGACAAATAGGTATTGAAGTATGAAACTGCACCTGGGCCAGAGCTCAGTGGCAACTAATGCAGGTCTTGTAGTAGAGGTGTTACAGGAATGAACCTCAGAGCTGCATAAGTATCTGGGCCACTGCAGGTTACACCAGCTGAAGCTTCTGAATGCTCTTTATGGCCAGCTCCATGCAAAGTGAAGTGCATTTGACGGTGAGCAAAGCCTACAGTTCCAGAAATGTTGCAACTGGTGTACAAGATGTAATGGGGCATAGAGTAATGTAATAGGGCACCTATCAGCATCTGTTACCGGGTTCATATTGATTATTCATAGGGCTGGAATGACTATAAAAACATCTGATTCCTTATTCTTTCATAACCCCTGTTCAAACACCAAACTTTTCTGCAAGGCCTTTGAGTCAACCTCTTGATTTTCATGGCATACCCCTGGAAGGTCTGTAACCGAATCTAAATCCATGTCATTGAAAGAATAACATACAGTACTTACTTTTAATTGTTTAACCTTTCTTCACTTTCCTTCCAGGTTTCCCATGTAGGGAATTCAAATTTGATGTTCTTCAGGGCATGAATCTGATCGCTTATTGTTTCCTTGCATACACATGGCACCATATAAACCAGTGTTTCTCAGCCTTGGCAACTTTAAAAGGTGTGGACTTCAATTCAAATCCATACCTCTTAAAGTTGCCAAGGTTGAGAAACACTGATATAAACATATCAATGAATGTGTGTAAAGCAACCTTTCCCAATCTGGATGCCCACTAGTTGTATGAAGGTAAACTACCAGCATTCCATGCCAATGTGGCCATGACTCAGAATTCTGGGATTTGTAGTCTACTTATTTGAAGGCTGCCAAAGTTGAGGAAGGTTGATCTAAAATATATTGTTGATTTTAGAAGGTAAGTTCAAGTTCAAGTCCAGCTACAAAGCTTATTGAGGAGGTTGGAGAGGATTATTTTCCTTCAGGATAATTACCTATAAGTAGGATACAGTGGGATTATAACATCTGATGTGGTGTTCATAATAACCCTTTGGAGACAGATATGAATCTCACAACACATGGACAGACTTAACGATAGTTTCAGCTGGGAAACTATCAGCATCTTAGACCAAGCTAAATCCAAAAATGCGAGGGAATTCCTGGAACTTGGTATTCAGACAAGGCAGCCATCAACAGGCACATAGAGATAAACAACATGTACATATTATTCAGAAGAGACAATAAAAAGGAAACAAAACTGAACATCTCCTCACCAGCAGTCATCACCCACATAAGCAGAGATTAACACCAAGATTAACACCAGACAAAGAATCAAGCAGTAAACAATACTCTAATCAAGGCTCTACCAAGGAGAAAAAAACCCCCACCAGCATTGGCAGGGCAAGCTACTGTATATAAACAGAGAGCAAACCCCACTCCCTTCCAGCACTGAAGATGTTACCTGGCTGGATAATGAAACATTTGCAAGAAAACAACCAAGCTCAGAGAACCCCAAGTACTCCCCTGTTCACCCCTGAGCTGCATATATTCTCTTCTACAGATATGAAAAATTGTATTTTCTGCTAAAACGTATTTAATTAGATTCTCCATTTGCTCAGATTGAAAGATAGCTCAGGCCACATTCCTTTATTATCTTTCTTCTTACTAGTAGGGTGGCTTCCTACCAATAATATTTAAATGCCAAGAGTTTAAAGCACATTTAGAAAAAGCAAGTAGGCTAGGAAAAAGTAGACACATCTAGTTCTGTTCCAGAAAAGCTGTTCCAAATGTTCAGTTTTCAGTCTTAAAAGAATATGGGAATTTCTACAATGTGGTAGACCTTGTTGCAGATACGCAAAAGTTAGAAATGTGCATTGAACCATTTTGGAGATATTCTAGGCTGACCGATCAAGCCAAACATCATCAAATTCCTTCTCAAACTTCAGAAACAATCTATATACATACAGAAATGCGGAGAGTATATTTTCAAAAAAGGATATATTTTTCTCCAAGCACGCTCCATCAAAGAAAGGACAGGGAAAAAGAACTTTTGCAATTGACAATTCCCAACCAGGGAATAACGTTGCCAAGACCTTTTACCAGAGAAAGTGCTTGCTTTTATGACATTTATATTTGCAAGAATTAACTACAGCCCTGATGAGTTTGATCGTTTTTAAAAATTAAGAGATGATTGCTTCGTAAGGGCACAGTTGCAGAGTTTCTTCACCCTGGTAATCCTTCTCTGTGTGCCCCCAACCTGTATCTTGAGATCAGCCAGAGGTTGAACCAGTCTGAAGATGGGTTAGGTGCTCTGCTACTGAAGCGGTTTTTCTGCCTTATCATGGTTCAAATCGCTCTATGAAGTCAATATGGGGCACACTGGTGCACAAAGGGGAGGTGCCTTGCCATAACCTGTTCTGGATGATGATCTGGTGCTCCCTTCCAGCTATGCTGTGGTCCTGGATTGTCCTCTTCCCTCTAGTACTTGAATACTGCGCCCGCTGCTCATTCTTGTTTTACCAGATCAGACTACAGTGTTACTCTCCTTTTTTTTTTTTTTAAAGATATTTTGGATGAGAGTCAACTGGTTGAACCCATGACAGTGTCCCCAACTGCTCATGCCAGGACCCCGCTGCTTATCAAATGCTACATTAGGGTTCTCTTT